GTGTCAAACACTTTGCATAAGTCCAGACAGATGATATGTTGCTCTGCCACTATTCACAAATTCAATACAATCAAGATGATGATTTGGGGAATGGTGGTGGAAATAATGTCTCACTTTGCTTTTCAAGGTGCAGCTGGGATGTACAGGAGAATGCAACGCAGGGAGATCTGTGACAGAGCAGAGTTTCTTGAGAGAATCTGTGTGTGAAGAAATTCTGTTTAATATAGCCTTGTCAAGACAGTGACACCTGTCTGGGTCACATGCTTTCCCTTGCTCAGGAACAAGCAGCATTGAGTTAGATCCCTGTCCACATTCAACAGGAAACTCAAGTGAGTGCAACACCACTAGAGGATCCCTGAATGAGCACGGGACTTGCCTGGTCTGTTTCTATTCAAAGGGTCCTTTGAGTTATAACATCATCCAAAAGCATCCACAGGACACCTTGGGGCAAAGCCTTAAATAGAGGCAGTTGTAACCAGAGCTTCAGAGTGTGCACACTGCGAGCTACACATAGGACAGAAGATCAGTAATCACATCTCTAGACTCCGTAAGGAGTCTCTCAGGACTCATTATTAGTCAAGAACCTCATGGCCACAAGCAGCATCTTGCACCTGGTGATTAACCAGTCTCACTTGCAGAAAAACTGACAAGCACAACTTTTAGGGTCCTTCTAAGAGAGACAGTAGTATTTGATGGCAGAGAGCATTGAGAAAATTATCACAGTATACTGACCAGAGACTAAGGAGGTCTTTGCAAAGTCAGGTAGATGATGGACACTACAGCACTGCAAAAGAATGATCTGAAATCCCTCATAAATGAGAATGACACAACAGGTTCAAAACCAAAGAAGAGATTCCTCTGTACCCCAAAAAAATCAGGACATGAAGATACTTGCAATTAGGGGGAAAGCTTGCAATACCAGCAGCAAGTTTCTAGGCAGACAAGTGAGGGAGTGCTGCACAGTAGCCTCCTCCACCTAGCTGTCCGGGGCAGTCAGAAACAGGAAATGGTGACTGTGGCAGGTGGCACAAGTCATCTTCACAATTCTCATGGCTACATGCCAGTTATGCTTGTGCCCAGGAGACCCAGAGAATGTGCAGTCCCATGGGACAGGCTACCCTTCAACGAAAAGTACTCTGCTTCTGTCAGGAGTAGACTCTTGAGTGCCAAAAGAGGTACATGTAGCCTGTTCCTCCACCACACCTCAGCAATCTCCATGTCTTGTGAGCAAGACAAGTATGGAATGTGAGTGCCAGGAGCATTAGCACCCTAACCAGAACAGCTCACAACAAGGACTTCTCCAGAAAAGATGATAAGGGACATAACTGTCTAGCACCAATGGTCTCAATTCTGAGTAGTTAGTAAAGGTAACAGTGTCAGAAGCAGCTGCAGAACCAAGTGCCAAGAACACAGTTTGGATACTAATGAACATCATATTCTGTTAGAGCTATGGGTGCACTTCCCATGCAGCAGCAGTTACCCATTTTTTTAAGATTCAGCTTGTCTGACCAGGCTGATCCCACTGGCTCTGGACATGTCTAAGCTGCAGCACTACAGACTGAAATCTGAAAAAGTGGCTATGCTGGAAGCAGGTCTAAGGTCGAGTCTTTTGACTGCAGGCCTATCTGGTTTTTTGCACCTCAGACAATCCATGAGGGTGCTCAATACATGACTTGCTGAGTTCAAAGCAGTACTTGGGTTCCTACTGGCTGTAGGCTCAGGGTGAGATACTGCACCAAATACACCCAAAATTCAGTAGATTACTGCATTCAGCACTTATGTTCTTGCACGTGCTGCAGCTGGAAAGGATGGAGCTTTCCCTAAGGTTATAAAGCATCAAGTATGGGGCAGATACTAGGATGCACTCAGGAAATCACAGTGGATTCGCTACTGCGCTGTAGTAGGGCAGAGCAGGATCAGTACCAACCACACTACAACTAAAAAGGCTGTCACAGCAAAGACACCCTTACCCAGTAAGCTGAGAAAAGCGCAGTGTGAAAGAGCACATGGGCTCCAGTCAGTACAGCACAGAGTGGACTGGGTAACTGTGTCTCCAGTTTATAATGCTACATATTCACTGAGGAGCAACTGGCCAAAGTTTGTCAATTACCAACGTACAGCCTAAAATTTCAGGACACATATAAGCAGCAAGGGTTGGACACTTGTCATCACCCACCTGGCCTTGTTTCCAGCATTCCCTGAAGATCTTCCAGTTGTTTTTGTTGCTGGGATCATGAAGGCAAAGGAGTCTACCATCACAGAGCCAAGAGTGGGATGTGTGTGGATCCAGCACATTTAATCCCATTACCATTTCCTTCACCTCTCTCTGTGTGTCAGCTAGATTACTAGCTCGTTTCACAGAATCTGATGTCTTCTTATTTTCCACCACAGAAGCAATGATATGGTCTAAGAAGTTCGGCAGGCTGGCTTTACCTTTGGCCCCCTAGAAGATGTAAATCCAGAGGTAAGTTCAGTCATGGAACAGCATAAATATTAATGCGTATCTGCTCTCCTTCAGATTTTAGTCACGGACACCTTGCTATCAGGAAAACATGCAGCAGTAAACAAATAGGCTCAGGGACAGATACGTATCCAAGTAAGAACAGCAACAGCTATGGCTCTGTTTTGTAATAGCAAAAGTTAGAATAACCTGCTACAGACGACCTAGAAAAATATTACACAAACAATCGAGGAATAGAGAACTTAAGTGATCTAAACCCCACTACTTTAATAGTAAAAATTGTTCATATTTTTATTAACTTCATTAATATCTCAACTCTATTTCCCCATTTTCCTCATCCCAGCCTGGAGATGAATTCAATCCTGGTACAACAGGTCAACTGATGAATATGGGAACACTAAGTAAACACTGACAGAGGAGAAAGTGGTTCCTGTATGTATAAAGTCAACAGAACTGTTAGTAGACAGCCTCTCTGGTTTTGGTGGTCATGCTCCTCATAGGACATTTAAAACTCGAGGGATGTTTAAAATTCATAGGAGATTAACCACATAATCTTAAATCATGTTCTAGCTTAAAAAAAAAAAAAGCCTGCCTATAGGTCTTGCCTATAGCAAATTACTTAAGACACTAAATATATTTCACATATTCAACAGAAGATAAACACTAACTGGATCATTATTCACACAACATCTGTGGGAGGGGGCAGGGGTATGATAGATTTCTGGCAGCAGAAGTTTTCTCCCTGTGCTGGGTCAAGCCAAACTTTTAACTTTATAGGGAAGGAGATTACATCACTTCTTTGGGCAGCCTATTCCACTGCTTCAAGGTAAAGTGAGAATTTTTTCTTACATCCAGATAGAATTCCTCCTAAATAACTTGTGTTCATTGTCCCTTGCCCTATTAACGATGCATCCTTATGTATATCAAGTGCAGGGAAGGAGGGGTGAAGGGGCGACATTTGGAGTGGTGGTATTTGTCTTCCTAAGGAACAGGTGATGGGCCCTGCCCTCCTGGAGGTGCCCAACACCTCCTGCCCATGGGAAGCAGCAAATTAATTCCTTGTTTTGCTTTGCTTGTGTGTGTGGCTTTTGCTTTCCCTGTTGAACAGTCTTTATCTCCAGCCATGAGGTTTGTAGCTTTTCCCTTCTGATTCTCTCCCCCATCCCGCTGGAGGGGAGTGAGCAAGTGGCCCTCTGGTACTTGGCTGCTGCTGCGGTTAAACCACAACAGCTGTGAAAACCAGAAGTCAGGAAAGTGAAAAAACACATTACACAATAGATCTGATTCAATGTGGTGAGAGAATGCATAGGGTTGCAAGGACAACTGTCTCAAGCCTTGAAGGAATAACCTGCTTTAAAATAAGTGATCACAATTTCTTCACCTGTACTCGGTGACGAGAGGGGGTTGGGGTGGAAGCATTCTTGGATTTACCTTCCTGTAGTAGCTGTATAGTTCCCTCTACCAAAACCAAACAAAATGAACTGTTATTTGAGGTTCCACACAGACAGCCTGACACCGAGGGAAAAATGTCTGCCATGAGACAAACCATTTCATCTTCCTCCTCACTCTATCTGCCTAAGCCTTGGAGAAAGCATGCGCCAAGAAGTGCTTAGCGTTGATAAATTCCATGGAATCTATCCTCTTAATCTAACTGCTTTAACCACTGCCAACAGCAGCGATTTCTTCAGGGGTTTTCGAAAGAAAGAAAGTATCCTTACTCCAGAATAGGCCTCCAGACATAGCAGCTACACCTTAAATTCATATTCTAGCTCAAGTGCCTTTTCAGTACACATAAGTTTTTTTACAGAACTGGTTTACTCATAAGTTTTTCTCTTTTTTTTCCATGGTACATTCTTGCAATAATTTTAAAGATGTGAAATCTAAAGTGAGCTTTTTATAGGGATGCTGATGATCAATTAAACAATTTAGAGGCTGCATTTAACTACCTTTCTTGGTCTCTTGAAAAGAATAGCCCCTCCACAGCAGTAGTAAACTAAAACTGAAAATTAGCATGACAATTCTCTACAACTTTGTGGGGTGGTGAGTTTTGGTGAGATATTGCATTTGTTTCAACATTTAAGAACAAAATACTATAAAAATATTTAGATGAAAATGGTTAAATCATCATGAAATTCTTCCTCAGAACAGAGAACATTGAAGGAATACACAATTATTTACCGTAGAAGCCGCAGAAAAGACTGGAGGAAAGGGGATTCCTGCATCCAGTGAGACCTGAGGAAGCTTTCCTGGCCCTGTGTGCAGCAGATCCCTCAGGCTGGAGCCTTCAGCTTTGTTGCTAGATGTCACTGGGCCCAACAAGAGGCTATTGAACAGCTTTGGGGTTAGCGGGGAAACCTTTGTGCTGGAGTTGAAGGAATCCAATCCAAAGGGTGAATGGGATTCTTTATTTAGCACTGATCTCAGTGATCCTGATTCTGCAAGATAAATATAAACATGGGTGGGGAGAGGACAAAAAAGAAGAGGCAAAGTCCAAATGATCATGAAGTTTTCTGAAATTATTAGCTCTTGCATTAAATAGGATATTGACAGAATCTTGTGGTAAATTATCACTGCAACAGTGAATGAGAGAATCAGAGACATCAGATACTTCAGAGATTTTACCCTTCGTATGCCGTTAAGGTCTCGAATAGCACAGATCAGATCTGAGAGGGTCTGACACACACAGAACCACAACTTTGTAATCGATTCAATTGAAAACCATGTCCTTGACTTTCTGAACTGATGTTTTGATGTCAATTTCAAATTTCAAAGGCAGTCAAACTAGTACAGTGACTAAACCCTGCAAAACTAGTGAACGATTCATGCACATTTAACATCAACATGTAAAGTAGTTCCTGCTAGACACAAGGACAGGAACAAATCCAGTGTCAGTGATGCCTCCTCTGACATCTCAGAAGGGTACTCGCTCAAACGAGTGAGTATTAAAGACGTTCTAAGCTTTCACCTGCCCCTCCAACTGGTCTCTACTCTCTCAATTCTTTGGAACTGCACTCTTCACTTAGCACATAAAACAACTTCGTTTACTTCAACATCTATAAACTGACAAAGCTGTGTCTGAAAATAATTACTATCATTTCACATCAGGACACCAGCTTCTTAGAACACAAATACACAAACTGCTCTGAAATAAACTGTGAGTGACAAGACAGTATGATCTTCAGCTGCATCATCTTTTCAGCCTTGCATATTCCTAAGCCTGTAAAACAAAACTGGCTCTAAGAGGCAAAGGAAGAAAAATAATCTTGTTCTTTTCTATTTAGGGCTAGGCACTCTCATGAAGTATAGAAACCAAGCAGTATGTTATCATTTATCCTTTAATTCCAACCCCAGAGGGTATGGCTTCCGCTCACCTTTCGTTTCTTCTTTCGCCTTCTGCGTTGCTAAATCTGCAAGCCAGTGCAAAGCAGACGATGGAGCTGATTCTGGACAAAGTGGTCTGTTAGTCTTTATTTCACCAGGGTTATTAGTTGGTAAGGTCTCTGCTTTTGCAGATTCTTCTATCCTACTATCAGCTGCTTCAGACTTTGGACCAGTGTCCGTTTCTAGCTGCCCCACTCCTGCTGTCCCCGCTCCAGTGGAAAAGGTGCTCTCGTTTCCAGAGACTGATGCACTGGGATTTACAGTAGGAAGCTAAAACAAAGAAAAAACCCCACTGTTAAATGTTGAATAAAGGGAATAGTTCAGCTTAAGAGACATTCTAGTTATCCAGTGCATTTGGTTTTGTTTGCTGCTTTTCTTTGTTCATTTGCTTTAAGCACATAGTAAAGTTCATGTATGGTTAGGTAGCAGCAGAGTACAGCAGCTGTTTCTCCATGCATATTAGCCCTTGCACTGTGGTGTGAACTCTTACCATGTCATCCTTTTAGACATCTTTTAACACAAGCTCAAGTGTTTTATTTCTCTCTTTTTTTTTTTTTTTTTTACCAGGAGGATATTTTCTGCTCTAGATTCCTTCAGGAACCATAAAAAAATGAAAGCACATGTTGCAAGCTACTCATATTGGTTTGTCTTAAAATACAGCATCAATATGAATGGCTTCCTACCTACACAGCAGTACTAGCCCAAATACCCACTTGGTAAATAACAGGTGCAGTTCACATTCCCAAAAAGTCCCAGAAGACCTTTTCTAAGCTAAAACACTCAAGAGTACATATGGAGAACATAAAATTTGTTTCCAAATAGATCAGCCTAAAGGATCTAACATCTTAACAGATATTAAAAACATAAATGTCAAACAAGGTAATTTCAGCCTCAAATTACATACCTGTGATATTCCATTAGTGACAGCTGGTCTCAACACAGATTTGTTCTGACGGTTAATACATGGACAGTTGGCTTTAATACCCCATTTGCCTCGTGCTGCATGAACCATGTCTCCAATATTGTAAAGCGCTGTAAATAAAGTTAAGTCTTTAATATCACATGTAAGGAAATCTAAAACAAGGCCTTAACTATAATGTATCTTCAGAAGGGTGGGGTGTTTTTCAGTATTACCACTAAGTACTGTTAAGATCACATGCTGTAACAAGACACTTGTCTCTGAACACTGTGGCGAGAGGTGCTAACACTAAGCTTTGTGATACCACTTAGAGGCTGCCAAGCCTGGCAAATCCTGCACATCATCATCTGCTCCTACTATTCCACTTAGGGTCCAATGACACTGAAATGAAGTGACTTCTAACCATCAAAAGGGACTATATAACACTTGGAGCAATGCTGAACGGATCTGGAGCACAGGTTGGTGTTCTTCTCTATCTTCCTGGTACATGGAAGAAGGTAACTAATTGAACAGGTGAATGTCTGGCTGCTTGGCTGGTGCCATACTCAATGTTTTGCCTTCTACAATCACAAATCTACTTTTGAGAAGTCAGGTCTCCTGGGAGCTGATGTTCAACATTATCAT